TATTTTTGACTGCAAAATTGGAGATTTGGACAAGCTGCAGATTACCTCAGCAACCCTGAATTTTCGCTTTCGGGATTGATCCGAAAAGTGCTATTTCTCTGTGTATCGGAACCCACCCCTGGTTACACCCCTTTTGTTCAGCTAGTTAATCTAAGTGACTGTCTTTTCTGGCATGGCCACAGCGTTCTCTCTTGTTATGGTCCTTGTGAAGATTCCCAATATCCCCAGTTTTTTTATATCTTCGTTTTTTTTTGTCTTGCTGGAAACAGCCTTAAATATTTCCCCATTCCGATTTTATTTTTTTTTATGTGCCTCTTCATCAACTAGTGAGCGAATTACTTGATTCTGATTGTCGGCAGAATACAGCGGCCACTCTTATTTTCGGGGGTTGGACAGACCAGACTAACAGTTTTCTTTTAGTTCCGTTTCGCTTTTATTTTGTTATAAGCAAATTTTCTTATATATATTTATAAGAATGTTGTTGAAAAAAGGAAAAATACGTTTGTATATTGTTGTAAACTATTAGTTACAAGTATTCACTACCATTTCTCTAGTAATTTCGTCTTCAAGTTTAGAATTTATTTAGCCTCCAGCTGTATCAACTGCTATTTTTATAAATATCAGATGATGCAGATGGAGATTTGATAAGCACTTTCCCAGAAATCGCGAACCACGAAGGGACAGATGTTCTGCTGGTAGATATTCTCGAATAAGAAAACACCTGAAAACATCATGTTCATGAGGAGTACAATTCGTAGCTGTACACAGTAAGGAGTAAATTGAGTGGAGAGCGTCAGTTTCCCATTGATGCGCAGGTAAACCTCTGAATTTTAAGCCTAAGTTGATCGTCCTCCACAGAATTCCATTCAGTCTCTCCACCTGACTGTTTCCCTGTGAGTTGTGTATGCAGTACATCTACTAGTAACTATTCCTTTCTCTTGAAAAAAATCTTCTTATCCCCTCCGACATAAAACTAGGTTTACTATCAGTGTATATAATTTGGCATACCAAATATGCAAAATAATTTAACTGAGCAAGTTGTAGTGAGCATGTCCCTACACGCAAAGGCGAAAGGGAAACTACTATATTCAACAATTCGATTATTTCATCCAAAATTCTTTGAAACCCAGCCACTCCATTTGTGATCCCAGACGGCATCCTATTAAAATTATATTACCGGCTTCAAAAGCCGTGTAACGGCGGTCTGCTTTACGTAGAGGAACTTTATGATACGGACTTTTTAGATCTTATTTAGAGCACAACCTATAGATTGCATTTCGGAAACGATCGTTGTAATCTTAGGTATAGGATAGGCATTTTTAAGGTAAAACGATTTATCGTTTGTGAATAATCTTTTGTTTTCTTTCTCATCCTTAGTTACCACTACTTGCGCTCTCGACAGAAATATAATTGGCTCAATGATATCTGAATCCAACAGACTTTTTTATTTCCCTCCTTATAAATGTCTTCTCTTCTCGAGAGTATCTTCAGGATTTCACAGATATAGGTCTACAATCAGGCGAGAGATTTTCAAACAGAGAAGGAGGTAAAATCCACATGATAGTTAGTCCACACAGTTTTTAGAGGTGATCTGTCACTCTCATATAAAATTTCTATTTTTTTTGTGCAGGTCTTGATAGTTTTGTCCGAGGATCACATCAGTACATAAATTATCCATTAAGGATAAATTAAATTTTTCGTATGTTTCTGTGCCCACAGTAAAAGTCGCTTTACATTTTCTTACAGTTTTAATAAGTCAGAAGAAGCCATGCTGACAGTAGGTCTAACGTCCAACTCTATCTTGGTTTTGATAAATCTATGTCTACTTCCCGAATCTACTAGTTCGGTAAGTTTTGTTTATATTCACGAGACATTTTACAGTGTCTTTTTAAAATCTCTGTGTCCCAAAAGTTAACGTATGACGGGTAATGTAACAGAAAACTTATTAGCTTTCAAACAACAGACTTTAGCGAAATGACCTTCCTTCTTGCAATTGTAGCAAAAATCGTTCCTCGAGCCGAACACTTACTTCTAGGGTGCTTAGGGCCTCTGCTGAAAAAGTACCTTTATTTTAAAAGAGCTATGCTAGCAGCGGATGCCCGAAAGTCCTCCTCCTTTTGATTTACCTTTTGATGAGAAGTTAGTTTGAGGATCCGATACCGACGACGCTTGATAACTTGTTTGGGTATCAGCAGAATAGATTTCCGAATTTAAAATATCCCTTTCCCCACTTCACGCTTGAATTTCAGCTTCTGTGAGGATGAACGTTTTGATTTCAAGAAGTCTACCGAATAGATGGTGCGAACAACCCAGAAATAAAGGCATCTCTAATAGCTTTCTCTTTGTAAACTTGCGCGGTAACATATTAGAATTTAATGCTTGAAGATACTGATCCAAGATTTCTCCAGCTTGTTGAGTTCTGGTTGCAAGTATATGCCTGGGGTATATCTCGCTTCGTGAAAGCTCTCTTTAGAATACTGTAAACAATAATTATCTGAACGTATTCACTTCTATTTTTCTAGTAGTTTCGTGAATTGTTATGAATTCCTGGGAAAGATAATGGATTGATTTTAAGTTCCCTTCTCCATGATTTAGAATTCAGTTTTCATTCACCTACACTGGTTACTTTGCTACAAAGACCTGTTGCCGGTAACTAAGGAAGAAAAGGACTGAATAATAGATTTTAATCGCAGTACAAACAAATGATACTATCTATAAAAAATATACGTTTCGTTTATGATTTCAAACAAGCAACTAAAACTATATCAAAAAAAGACTAAGTATTTATGTTTTGTTTGCTTGGACTTGGCTAAGCATATCTTGTATTCATTTAATGAAGAAGGTTATCTTTATTCAGTTGCATTAAATATGGACTGATGAAATATATTGGACAGTTAGTGTTAATGGTGGTTAATTTCATGACAAATGAAGTGACTCCAAGAGATAAAGATGTGGTTCTACAGACATAAAACAACCATTGAATAAAAGGGGAAATTTTAAAGAAAATATGAACTAAAAAGGCACTGATGCTTAACATTAACATTTTTTTGGCACTATTTACATTATTCGGACTATTGTCCTCATCCTTTGTCGCCATATTTATTACAGGGTTTCGGCCGTTGTACGATCCGATCATCTAGTTCCACTTGCCATGTTTAATGGATGTCAGTTATCTCCTGTTAATTCCCCTCTGCAAGTTCTCCACTGTCTTAACCGGGTACTGAACTCACACTCTTTGGGTCCTGTCACTGGATCTAACTAACGTCTTTATCCACTGTGCCATGTGTCCTTGAGGACATTTGTGTATGAATTTCTGGGTATTATAAACCTAATGTCTCAGCAACCGTTTTTACCAGTGCTCATATCTAAGATGAGGACAATAGTCCGAATAATGTAAATAGTGTACATAATACCTCATCTCAGAAATATAGACACACTGAAGGATCGGTACGGACCCGATACACCGAAAATATGGAGACAAATTGAAAAATTCTACCAGAAACTGGCATGAATATCGAGTCATCTGACATTCCTACACCGATGCAGAGATCTACAACTCATCCATTCAGGCTTGGCACCAAAACTTCCCGTCAATTCAAGGAGAGCCCGTCTGGCCACAGAAAAAACAGGACACGCCCTTGTCCGAGAGAGAATCCAGTACAATCGTTGGAGGCTCGAGGATTTCTTCAACAGAATTACCAATGAAGAAGACCGGAGAAGGATCCAAAATGACCTGGATAAATCGTTCAGACATGAATTTGATGTAGTCAAGTACAAAAATTAAACAAATTTAAAGATCAGAAGGTGACGCACAGGGTCCATCACTCACCAGTCAAAGCAGTAATCAACATCAGCTAATATCAGCTGAGTGCCTCTGATGAGTCAGTATTGAATAAGAGTTCCAACTTCGCCACAACAATCAGGCGAGTGCCGTACTTGACTTGGACAAACTGTCACAGATCCTAATCAAGAACAAGGATCACTTCGCTCCTAAGACGTATAGGCGGTTATCGCAGCGTTACACCAAGCTACCTTACATATACGGTATTCCGCTCAGGCCGATTGTTAGTTGCCAAGTCTCTGTGTGCCACCCTCTGAGTCGCTTCCTTGTAGATATAACTGATCCTATCCAACCAGATGGTGAGCTTGGACGTGGTGAGTTTGTTCACCAAGGTACCCACGGAGGAGGCACTCTCAGTAGTCAGAGACAGATTGGCCTCTGACTCATCCCTAGAAGAACGGACCAGTATTCCAATAGATAATCTGATGGAGATGTTGCTGGCATTTCCAGAGATACACATATTCAAACTTAATTTTAAAATATTTAACAACTTATTACATTTTGTATTTAAAATTGAAAAAAAAAGAAACCAATTCTAGTAAAAATTCATTTTTCATCAAAAAATATTTTGGCTTCTGACAATATAATAAATATATAATATTCCTAAAAGCCATTAAAAGTTTTTTTCATTAAATAATTTCTTAGTTTAAATGAATTTTAGAAAATTTAATTAATATCCGAAAAAAGTGCTAAAAAACTAATGCTAAATATTATGCGACCACTTGGGCACCTCGACGTGATGTAATGGTTAGGAAGCTAGATCAATTACGACTGAGTAGTGAGTTCGATCCCCACTGGGTACCCCATACTTTCGGCCTTGTGCCACATCTAAGCTGGGCTTAGAAAATCGCTATTATGTGACCACTGACGTAAAAAAAAAACAATTTTCAACTAAAATTTCAAACCTGCTAGAAAGGAATAAAAATATTTTGGTTTTCCCTCGTTATTAATAACGTAAATTTTTTACGATAAAATTTTGTTCTTATTAAGTTTGGAGCCTCTTATGCTGTTTTTTTCTCGTTTTTTTTTTTTTTTTTTTTTTTTGCGAATTATTGAACATGCCTAAATGTTAGGAGGTTTATAATTATTTACTAAGTTATAAATCCCCTACATAGGAGACAAACTATTTTCATTTAAAAATTGGATATCGCGAATATGTTTAGATAGATAGATAGATAGATAGATAGATAGCTTGTTGTTGTGACGAGTCATAAACTTTTTCACGTTCCACTCTATATAGCAAGAATAGCATATAACGTGTTCTTTTATGGGCTAATAATTTAATATAACACATGCCCTAGAATTGGAAACATAAAATATTGTTGATGAATCAAGTCATTCATGCTTAACATTAATATTTCAATATTTGTGAATATTCAGCTTTAATTTGCAAAAAAGAAAAATTATTGAAATCATATGAGGTTGCTTCTGATATTCCTAACAAGCTGAAAACAATCACAATAGTAGAAAACAATCACAATAGTAGAAAACTGTAATATATAAATAAATAAATAAATATATATATATATATATATATATATATTCAACTCAAGACGACCAAATGCAAATATGTGCTTCAATTAATCTATTCTCTTTAAAATTATTACACTTTTAGAACATAAATTCCTTACTGTTTCAAATTCCTTTTTAATACGTGATTTTTATTTTTGTTTTGCTTTTTTTTATATTTTATTTTTCATGCCTTCATTCTGTGTGTACGTATTAGAGAACAAGAAAGAAGAGGAAGAATAAAGACGGATCTGAACGTTCTATTCATTCTTTTTACGGATATATTCGTCCTCCGACAGGATTCGAACCTGTATCCTATAAGGAACCGTCATTTACCTTGACATGCCTTTACCGATTTGGCCACAGAGGAGCTTTGTCCATTTCATGTGACGTCATTTGTTTACATTTGATACGCCATGAGCTGATATGAATGTATGTGAGAGATTCATAGAAGATTGAAGTTCAAATACAGTAAATTCGACCTTGCTAACCGTCAAGCTAAATGACGGTTTCGTATAAGATACAGGTTCAAATCCTGTCGGAGGACGAATATTTTCTGTGAAAATTTCTCGGACATTCAGGCCGGTAAATGTTATTTAATACTGTTTATTATAAACAGAGCATTTACTTAAAAATATTTGTATCTATAAAAAGAATGTATAAATATAAAAATGTCTTAAAATAATTGGACTTTGTCCATTTATATATATATATATATATATATATATATATATAAATTAAATACAATCCTTAAAAATCAATTTCGGCAATAATTTATTTCATGAAAATATTCAAATATTCATCTCTTCAGACCGAAGATTTTTTTAGAAATGAAATCAATTTGTCCAGACAAAAGAAAAAGGGAGAGGAAAAAAGAAAGGTAAAGGAAAATAAATTATATTAAAAGGGGATGAAAGAAAAAGAAAAATTTCAGTATAAGATTTTTTTTTTTTTTAAATGGGAGGGAAGAGAGAAAGGAAAAGAGTGACAAAGAGAGGCGGGGAGAGGGAGAGAGAAGGCAAGAGTGAGAAAGGGTGGTAAAGAAAAGAAAGGATAGATGGAAGAATTAAATATGAGCCGATAGGTTGACCTAGAAATACATTTTTCTTTAAGGACTGGACAAGTTAATATACAGGGTAAGAGAATGGGGGTGATCAGACTTAAAATAGATACAGTAATATGTCCAATAGTCATGTCATTTCAAATAGCAAAAAAATCATCATCGTATTATAATCATCACAATTTCAAATGAATAATAATAATAATAATAATAATAATAATAATAATAATGATAATAATAATATCCGACATCAATAAAATAAAATAAGTTAGATAATATAAAATTAATTAAATAATTAAATACATCAAGAGATAAATAACGAACAAATTTAAAGAACAACTTAAATATATATATAAGGATAAAACTAATAAAGATAATATAGGGACTGCCATTAGATTGTTGGAAAATGAAAAAAAAAGCCTTAAACTTGACGAAACCAAACTTTTATCGTCAAAAGGTTTATGTTACTATTAAGAGTATTTAAAAAAAATTTCCATCCGTTTTAGAACTTTTGATTTAAAAAAAAAAACTTGTTTCTTTTTGTGTCAGCGGAACTAATAAATAGCATAGCAAATTTTAGCGCATTTTTTTTTTCTTAATTGGAAAATCTTGCAAAAATAAAAATAATTGTCGGATTTTAATGAAACTTTCAGAAACTATTCACAAATGATGGAAATGATTATAAATATTTTTTTAAGTCATGGTAAAAATATTTGTTTATATTTGTTAAAAACTCTAGAAATTCAATGCTGAATCATTTAGTGGTTATATTAGTTGAAAGCACAAGGCTTTGAGGAAAAGAAATCATGATTTTTTTTAAATCGGTCCTCATCTACCTAAAATCAGCTCTGAACTGTAACATACAAAACCCAATAAAACAAAGATATTACTTAATTTTAAATGCTTTTAGTTGTTTTTATGAATATTGTCTGAAGGCGAAAAATGTTTTCGATGAAAAATAAATTTTTACAACAATGATTTACTTTTTTTTATTATTTTACTTTAATGTTATTCAGTATTCTAAAATTAGTGAGCAGTTTAGTCAGTGGTGTTATTAAGTAGATCTATCTTTACAGATTATAGTTATTTTCCAAGCGTAGCTCAGATGTGACTCAAGGCCGAAAGTACAGGGCACCCGGTGAGGATCGAACTCACTACTCAGTTGCAATTGTTCTTAACGAAACATGGTTGCTAACCATTACACCACAGATTAGAGATTATAAGTTGTAAAGCTTATTACACCCTGCAACACACAAGAAGTATGTAAAAATCTAATTGTGCATGTTTTTTTTTTTGTCCATAAAAACAGTTTTCATTCAAATGTACGGAAGACGTGTGAAGTTCATTTGATTCTTCGTTTCCACTTAAAACAAAAACAAATTTGAAATATATAGCCTATGAAGAAAAAAAGAAAAATGTTTTTAGATAATGTTAATTAATGTTTATTAACTATTAATGATTAAAGAATATTTTAATTATTATAAAAAATTTCCAGATCAATGTGCTAATTTTCATGTTCATTTATCTTTATTTTAATTTCATCTGATATTAAATCTTAAAATTAATTTAAGAAAATTTCATTGTTTTAATTTTTTTCATTTTTTCATAAAGCATCTTCAAACGTAACTAAAAGTCAATAAAATATTAGATAATTTCTCATTTGTAATATGATAGGCAGTTAAAAACAAAAAAATGCGTTCACTTAGATTTCATAAATTTATGCCAGTTCTGGTCATACATACTGTCATCACCTTGGAACTTATCGACAGGTCAATGAAAATGAAAGAAAAACAGGACCCACCGTTAAGAAATGTTTGTATATTACTTTTTATGCTATAAGTAAGCAATTTTTATTTCAAATCAGATCAATTTAACTTTAAATTTGCTAATTTTACTCAAATAACGTGTCAAAAAAATATATTTTATTTTTGGAAGATTTTTAAAACCGATAATTTTATTTTGTTTACAAGTTTGTTAAAATTAAGAAAATGACCGCTTTTAAGAAAATTTCTGAAATCGGCCAAAATGTTGAGAATCCGATCGATATAATTTATTTTTGAAATGCATCAGAATATTTTACTTACTGCAAACAGTAAATTTAATCAATTAGCCTTCAATTAAAGCTAAATTGAAATCTTCAAGAATGCTTTTTCATTTTTAAAAATTCATTTTAGACTTTGGGTATCAAAAATTTATACCGAATTAGTGGAGTTACCTAAGATAATATTATCAAAAATTAATATAAAAATAATTAATAATTTAAAACTATAACTGATGTAGGCTAGAAAATCACATAAGTGATCATATACAAAAATAGGAATACATATTCGCGAGCATGTTAGTACCCATATAAAACAGAATCAACACTTCATCAAAATATAGTCCTTAAAATTAATGTTTTTAGGGAATTTTTAATATGTTCACGTGCCTACACTTGAAGATAAGTTCGTTCCTTTGATTCAATAATTGGTCAGCATTTAATTTAATCATTTTATATATATATATATATATATATATATATATATATATATGCATATATTGCATCTGTTCCGGAAGTTGTTGGGAGCCTGAGACTGACAGATGATATCCCATTTAAGTTTTCAATAATGTTTGGATAGAGCAGTTTGGTATCTTAAAGAAGCATTGGAAAATTTTTGTAGAGCGTTATTATGATTAAAATTTAAAATAAATATGCATTTTTATATGAATTTTTCCGACTCTGTTAGCAATATCAAATTTATTAGCAAAACTTTTCAATAGAAAAACTCTAAAAAATCAGTTATTCCTGCACTAACAATATACACAATATTATTAACTCCCACAAGAATTTCTTGTTAAATTCATTATTCATCAAAAAATATTTTGGCTATAAACAATAATGACCTTAATATATATTATTCATTAGAGCAATTAAAAGCTTTTTTTAATTAAATAATGTCTTAGTTTTATTGTGTTTTGTATTTTACAATCCAGAGATAAAGTTGGGTAGAAATGCCTCTCGATTTACAAAAAATCCATGATTTATATTCTTCAAAAATACACATGTTCGAGTTTTTGAGTTTATTAATTACGGGTGTGTGTTAAAGATGTAAAAAGAAATATTTTTAGCATGACTTTCTAAAAACCGAACATTTCTAAAATAATTCATTTCTGAATAAGTTCTGAAAGCTTCATTAAAATCTGACAATTATTTCATTTTGGAAAGAATTTCCAAATTAATGTGTTTTTAAACTGAAAAAAGCGCTAAAAAAGCTAATGCTAAAAGAAAAAATTGTGTTCATCTGAAAATTAAATTTTCAAGTGTGAAGTGAAAAACGCTAAAGTTATGTACTGTACAATTTTTAAATTTTAACACTTGCAAACGTCAAGGGAGGCAACTAAGTTATTGAAATGTCTAAATCTTTTTTAAAGAAAAACAATTTAAAACTATTAGTTAAAACCTAGATATTTTGAACTATCTCCTGTAAACATTGAAAAAGATTTGTGCAGTATTCATAATTAATTTTATTAAGGTTTGGTGGGGTGCGAGTTTTGTTTTTGAGTATGTGTATGTGTAAATTGGCACTTTATTAACGCATATACATACATACTTTTAATTTAAACTCAAACCCGTCAAAAGAACACTCAAAAGTTTTCTTTATTTAATAAACTTTAAATTAGACCAATTTACTTTGTTGGGTATCTCAATTGTTTTTTAAACATATATAAAAATTATCGTTATTATTATTATTGATATTGTGAATTCCTGTGTGTGTTGAAATTTTCTATCAAATCTTTTTACTCTAAACAGGCCTCTACCGCATAAATATTAACTTTGGGTTCCTTTCAAGCCATCATTTCTATGGTTTATCATTTTACCCAATTCTCTTACTTAAATTTGTCTATTTTCACTTTTTAGTGATGTTTATGACGTGCTTTAAAATAAAATATAAGAATCAATGTTTAAATAAAAAAGTGTCTATTTAATTGTACCAGGCTCCATCGGCCATCGCATCAAAATTTTCATTAATATCTGCTAGACATACAAACGGATTTGAAACCGGTATTGTCTGGGATCTATTTAATACTGACTGTGTTTGTGTGTCCGTCAGCATTTCAGTAAAAGTGCATCTACAAAAGATCGATGATCGCCTTCCGTCCCTGCCTTTCCAGCATCAGGTAAGTCGAACACACAAACACAAGGACGAACCAGAGCAATGAGGGCTATGGAATTATTCAGTGTCGAGATGCATTTGAGAATATGTGGACTGCAAAATGGTTGACCTTCGCACTTCACTGTCACCACAATTTTCGTCCAGGACCTTTTTCCCTATGAAGAATGATAAACAGGAATCAACTCTTCCCAGCGGGTATTTATATGCTGAAAAAAATCGTAAGTTGCACATTTTCTCTTAAAATTTGGAATAAAGTTCTTCAAATATTTGTAATTTAGCTGACATGATCACTTGACGTTATCCGGGATAACTTTCAAACGTTATTATCAAATTTTTGTCTGAATTTTCGGTATGAGGAGGTACCGTTATTAACATTGTTTACGGAATACAGCGTTGGTTCTTAAATCTGGTGACATAGTAATTTGTTTGTTAAATTCCTGGGCTGGGTAGCACAAACTTAAATTCAGTAGAAACCAGGCGGTCAATAACTGAGTAGTACTAAATAAGAGCACTTTTGTGGAGAACAATCTAACCTCGTAAGTTAAATAAAGGGTTCAGTTCGAAATTCCTTAAATTCGATAGGCATCAGAAGGCCGGAGAGTACAACAACCAAAACGTTGTGAAAATAGCAACAATGATGAGGACATTAGTCCAAATGTAATTTTTTTATTTTGATTCGTTTACCTTAACAAAGCTTCGAAAACTATACAGAAAATATAATAAAGGCGTCGACAGGGATTGTTGATCGTTTGGGTTGTATTGTTGTTTTAATAATAAAGCATAAAACGCTTTCCGTAATTTGCTATCAACTTCGCTCAAAATCAAATCCTGTTTTGTGTACTGCCCACCTGTTTTTTTCTTTTCATTCACACACACATACATACATATATATATATATATATATATATATATATATATATATATATATAAATGACAGAATTCTTTATATATAGATCGGTACTTTTGACTCAGAAGAGTATGGTACCTGTACATTCTGCTAAATATCAAAATGTTGCGTTCTAAACGCAGTACCTGATATATATATATGAATTTACTAAAAATTACTAAAATGTTACAATCTGTGGAAGGCGTGTGATTTAGTGCCTATTGAAAAAGAAGTGCCAGAGGAAAAACCAGTGAGAACCTTAATCGATCAACACAAAGAGCTATGGGTGACAGAAATGGTCGGACAGAAATAGTCAGAAGTGTCAGTTTGAGAACGATTTGATAGATAGATAGATAGATAGATAGATAGATAGATAGATATGAATAAACTGTGCTAGACGAAAATATATAAATAAACGTAACGTGTTATATAGGCAGATTTAAGTGATTTTTGGTAGACATTATATGTAATTTTATTCAAATACCATATAAGAATTTGAAAATAGCAGGCATAATTTACAGTCTTTTTTATCAGCTGTGTATATTCTTTACCGTTCCTTGTTGCTTAATCCAACTGCTAGAAATCTTGTACGATAAATAACTGATGTCATACAATATTGCTCACCTTTTTCTGGATTTCAAATCTCTCTATAATCATCATTTTTATGTATCCATTGATTTGCTCTCAATGGATTATAAAATCAAAATTGGCGCTATACGGTCTTTCTAACAATAACTTTATGTCATTCATGTTTATAATATAAATACTACAAGGAATCCTCATGGAGAGTGCATGTCGTTTCATTTTAAAATAATTTTTCATTTTTTATATATTATTGATCTAGAACTGAAACGGTAAAGGTGATCTCTCGATCTAAAGTCTGATAATCTATACTCACAAGTGCTTGTAGACTGGTTACAGTCGTCTGCTGTTTCCAACAGGTCCCTACCCAATTTGGTTGCCGTTTCAACATCATGAATACCTAACAAGAATACAGCAGTTTGATGCTGACGATGACTGGAACATTACAGATATCGACAGGTACGGTTTTATCCTTATATGAAAACATCTTATGAAAGCTTAAGGGATACCAGCACGTTTTTTACTGTGGGAATAATCTCTGTGTTAAAACTGAAAAATGTTTTGCTATACTTGTGGTTCGAAATATATTTTAAGTGTTGATGAAATTTACAAAGCGATGAGGGCCATTACATAAAAAAAGTCTCTAACTAAATGATTTCCTGTGTCTGAATCAATGGAAAAATGGTACGATAACTAAAACTTGAAGAAACTTCGTTTACCTTCCTTCATGGAATCATGTTAATGACTACACAAGATCATGATAAATAATAAGCCTACAACGTAGTTTAACCCATATTTGGGAGGAGAATAAATGAATTTCTGAAGGGCATTAGTGTGAAGTGATTGCAAGTTGAATTCGGTTCACTCGTTCTACTTTTCGTACCGAAAACCATTAAACAACTTGCACGTCCATTAATTTCTTTACAGTTTGTTTAAATACTTGCAAAGATTAAAAAATAATAGAAGAAAATTAGATCTAAAGTAAAACACAAAAGAACTACAAAGTAATTTCTTCTGAAAGATTTTGATCTGTCTAGGTTAGCTACAAACCTTTTATTCAAACAAAACCTGTATTGCTTGTCCACGAGTAAAGATTATACAAAATATCAGGAACAAACTTCAAAACTGATATTTTGAAGAGAGTGAATAAGATAATTTAACTTTTAGTAACATTAGTAATTCTTCAATCTACCTCCAATAACATTAGTGGTTTATAAGCTAAAATTGATGAAAACTGAATCTGAAGAAATGGATTTTACTTTTTATGTCAAACCTATTGTTATATTAAAGATAATTTCAAAATATTCCTTTTTCAAAGAAATGTTTTCAAATGCATAGCTACTTCATAAAACATAAATTATTTTACATAGTTGAATAATACCCTATACATCATAAAATTATATACCACACATACATATTTATTATATATCTTACATATCTTACATGTTGAATATGTAGAGAAAGACTTCCAGCAACTTTTAGGATTTTAATAATTTTGCTAGTAATCCAATATTGTCATCAGTTTGAAAAATAAGCTATCATATTTATTCCGTTACTATGAAAATGCATTTATTTTATGGGAGTGGTGGAACAAATATAAGTTTCAAAAAATTCGATTATCAGTGAGGTTTGAATCGAAAAACAATATCACTTGGTAAACTGTGTAGATCCCCCCCCCTTATACATTCCTATCCAGTCTAAACGCTGAAAATTTCACAGCATCTGGTGGTTATGTTAGGGAAGCCCTCTGACCTAGCTGGAATGCGTGGTTTGTGTATCTGAACTAAGAACCCGGTTCACTAAGAACTTTTATCGACCAATGAACAGTCAGTCAGAAAACACATCTGCGTAAGTAAATATTTCGGGTTTTGTTAAAAAAAATTCTATGGGATGAAAATGTCATAACGTGACTACTTTCCCGAGCCGGTATTTGATTACTAGAAGGAATATCATGAAAGAGGGTGTCTTTAAAAGGTCATCAAAAACTTTTAATTGCCTTCTATTCGAAACGAGATGAAAGTTTTTTATGCATTTCGAGGTAAAACAAGTTTTGTACGGATTTTTCTTTCAACTAACAACTATATATACTTGACTTTGATCCTTAGAATAACTTATGGTCACCAAATTGAATTTTTTCAGTTTTCTTTAATTACTGAAAAGATTTCAATTCATTTCTGTTATACATATTGTAACTCTCAATTTACCAATTTTTGCCGCTACCTACAATTATTAGAATCAGAGAATCACTTGACAATAAATTCATCACGAGAGTGATTGGCTTAGATTTCTCAAAGTCTTTTGCCAAGATGTGGCATAGGGAGTTGCTAAACAGACGCCCTAGCCATGCAATCTCTGGAAGGGCCTTCACAAGTATCGAGTCTCTTCTATCAGGTAAGTCCATGAATGTCGTAGACTGTAACCAGTCTCTGGAAGCACATGAGATCAATACACACCACTATTTGTGGTATAGACTCACGAAAGGATGCTTCCCCAATCCTATATATCCTCGTAATATGGACTTCTTACATCCTCCCTTTAGGTTCTTACAATAGCCTCATTCGGTAACTCTCTACCTTGAGAGGCTCTTGTGCATTGTATTGAATGAACATTTGTTGAAATTAAAAGAAAAACACGTAAATATATTGTTATATACCGTACCTATGAACACTAATGGGTATGTCCCAAACCTCATAAATACGTTGGGCACTATTGTAAATGGGGGTAATATGCTGTCTAAGTAGTCCACCACTAGCAGTGGTTTACCTACTTCACGCCGCTGGCGAGTATTGTATTTTGTTGATGTTATAAAGATAACCATTTCATTTCCAATCTCCGTTTTGGTTATTCCTCATTCAGTAACCCATTCTAGGTTAAAACGCATATAGAGTCCCATATTAATCTGATCTCGTGGAGAGGCAAATAGATACCAACTATCAGTAATAATAATATTGTTGCAGTAGTGGTAGTAGTAGTAGAAGTGGTGCTGATGGTGTAGAATTTGGTATTTATTCTTTATAAACCATCATCGATTATTGTACCAATAACCCTGAATTCACTTATTTTAGGTATTATTTAATAAATACACAATAAAATGCATAAAGAAATAATATTTGACCACCTCCCCATGATGGGTTGAGCGTGGGGTGCACATAAGCATACATATATACCAAGGACAGAAATCTTCGAACACGAACAGTTTCAGTCTGACATTGGTATTCGCCAACTTATTGTCTTTAGTGCAGCGAAGAAGGCGCTGCAGCAGATCTGGAATCCCTTGGACAATCTTCCGTCATGACTTCAAGAACCGATATTAGTCCAAGAAACAAGAAAAAAGGCATCAGAACAAAGATTAATTTGAAATTAGAATAATGAAGCTATACCACGATATATTATTTCACTATTACTTAACTGGCACAACGTCAAACAGGAAATCAAAAAACGCAACACGATCCCTTTGGTAAAGTGACTTCTTTTTTTAAAACAAGACATTTCGGTCTTTGTCAAGTTTTGACTTTTATGTTCATTATGGTCGATCGATAGAAAAAGTAACTAAATGGTCACTGATATTTTGAAATAAGAATAAAAGGAAAATATATTTTCGTGGACAAGATAAAAAAAACTTATGATAACTGATATGTCCCGGAATTTGAACGAAGTAGCTAAGTGGTTTTGGCTACTATAACCAAGTAGAATACGGTAGCAGTAATCGACTGGTACGCATCGTAGTCGCAGGTAAGAAGTGTAGATCAATGGCGTAGTCCAATGGGCGTCGTTATAGACTTAGCTCTCAGACTCTGTCATACCTACACGTCCGTCGGTATTTATGACGGACACCAGCCAATCATATTCCAGTGAGGGGGAACACAGGTGTACGCATATTCCATTATATCAATAACAACGTCGAGCAAATAGTTTTTGTTTATTTCCTTTTTATCTAAATTGTTTCTTACCTCGCTATTTACTCAGATATTCAAGTCTGGGTACATTGTGTTTATTCAGAAACAGACTCAGTATTGGTAGCCAATCTGAGAGTATCTCGGAGTTATTTCAATCATAATAATAATAAGTTTGGGCAAATTCTGTGGAAAATTGGTATCATTTAAGCTGTTTCTGAATAATATAAACGAGAGAATTCTCAAAATAAAACGAATATTGATGTTGTTGATTTTTAATGATATTAATCATAATGATTTAGTAGTGGTGTTGATGGTGTAGGGTCGGATTTTCTATTTATTATTATTATTTATTATTATTATTATTATTTAAATGAAAACGGACAAAGCAGTAACTGAACGGTAATGTTGGTGGTAAGGATAACTGTGTTATAAATGTCATTATTGTTGGCATTATGATGATGATCATCATCATCATCATCATTTATCATCATCACCACAACCACCACCACCACCATCATCGCCATCATCATTATATTTCTTGCTATTTGATTAAAACAATGAAACCATTTGTTTTGTTTCGTAGAATCAAAAACGAAACTCCTATGCTGCTCATACAGAGGTACAATGGCTTCAATCATGGCACCCGAAATAAACATCTTGGCAGCATAACAGAAGAGGAAATAGTAGAAGCGGAGAAAAGTCAAAGATCTAAGAACAGTCAAGGAACTTTGTACAGTCGTCACAGCCTTGACTCTACCACGGATTATGCATCAGACGATGAAGAAGAGTCTGAAGACGATGAAAACCAAAGTCAAATAGTCAGGAAACATGGAATATCAAATTTTGTACATTTTCAAAGAAAGATCCCTTTAGGTCATCGAACAAAACATAAATTTACGAAAACCGCAAATGAGA